TGCGTGGGTGCACGTGGCTGTGTCTGCCTGTGTACGTGCTCGCGTGCGTGCGTGGGTGCGTGTGGCTGTGTCTGCCTGTGTGCGTGCTCGCGTGCGTGGGTGCGTGTGGCTGTGTCTGTACGTGTACGTGCTCGCGTGCGTGCGTGCGTGTGGCTGTGTCTGCCTGTGTGCGTGCTCGCGTGCGTGCGTGCGTGCGTGCGTGTGTCTGCCGGTGTATATGCTCGCGTGCGTGCGTGCGTGTGGCTGTGTCTGCCTGTGTACGTGCTCGCGTGCGTGCGTGTGTGCGTGCACGTGGCTGTGTCTGCCTATGTACGTGCTCGCGTGCGTGCGTGCGTGGGTGCGTGTGGCTGTGTCTGTCCCGCTGTCCGTGTATGTGCTCGCGTTCGTACGTGGGTGCGCGTGGCTGTGTCTGCCTGTGTGCGTGCTCGCGTGCGTGGGTGCGCGTGGCTGTGTCTGCCTGTGTACGTGCGCGCGTGCGTACGTGGGTGCGCGTGGCTGTGTCTGTCCGTGTGCGTGCTCGCGTGCGTGCGTGCGTGCGTGGGTGCGTGTGGCTGTGTCTGCCGGTGTATGTGCTCGCGTGTGTGCGTTGGTGCGCGTGGCGGTGTCTGCCTGTGTACGTGTTCGCGTGCGTGCGTGCGCGTGGGTGTGCTTGCCTGTGTAAGTGCGCGCGTACGTGCGTGAATGCGCGTGGTTGTGGCTGCCCGTGTACGTGCGCGCGTGCATGCGCATTTGTCGGGTCGTGGGGCGGGCAGGATGTACTTGGTGGCAAGCCGACATGCTCCGTTGGCTAGCAATGTTTTGCGCGAATAGCAAGAATGCATACTGCAGCATAGAAATGGCATGATGTGTCCGCACGAAAAGATTTGGTAACCATAGCATCCAGTTCTGTTGGATTATGTATTTATGAACTGCAAATGCGAAATAAAAACAGAAATTGCATCGCATGAGTATAAACTCAGTCGGGTCATGGCGTGAACAGGTCACTCGGAAGAAAACAATCGAAATAACAATGAAAGTTCAATTCTTAAGTATATGATCCTATGGGGGATTTAATAGTGGTCTGTATACAAACGGGCGCACTATAAAGCGCGAGGTCATATTCGACAATAGACGGACTGCTCTTTAAATTGCGTCTTTGCACATTGTCTTAGTTGACGTTACGCACTATATTCAACTGTGTAAGGTGTGATGTGATGCTGATGTGATGTGATGTGAAACACTGACCAACTAGAGCTTCTTCTTCAGAAACGGAATGTACATCCTACCTTACTCTACACAGAACCTACAGTGTATAACAACACAGTGCAAGCGCTGGGCTTAAAAGAGCTTATTCTACGATAAAAATGGATTGTTTGGGATATGAACAGATTTTAAGTCGATAGGGAAGACCAGGCGGCGTACCAACAGTCGAGCGAGCTGTGAAGACTGAGCTACGCTATATCCCCATCATTATAGCCATCTCTTAATCAGCCACAAGATAGCTTAAAAAACACTCATACACCCGGACCTTAATTACCGACGCATTTGTAAAAAATGGTTTGTAAGTATCGCCAAGCGTCGTTTATTATACAGGGATTTAGATGCATTATAAAGGTTTGCAGGGTGTTTGTTGTGAGGATCTCAGAGTTCAAGAAGCTGGATGTCAGAGATCCGGGATTGCTTGGTGCGTGTAAAAACATTATGTGGACAGTGATTTGTTATTCGTGTTTGTATACAAAGCTGTATAGTCCTGCAGTGTTGATAATATTTTATCACCAAACCGGCGAGAGATGAGTTTCACAGCAATGCTTGTGGGCGTGGTGTACAGCTGCTGTTGTAATTCATTATGGGCAGCGACTAGCGTGTGTCCTGGTGTCAGGAGATCAGACCAGTTGCCCCGGACATCAGGATATCAGCGCGGTATCATCATAACAGCAGGTATGTAACCACGCCACTGACGTTTATAACATCAGTCTGATACAAGAACACCATTCGGACGTCGAGTGACCTTCATTGGGTAAGCTGCATAATAATCCAGTTTATTTATTTTCGTGATGTTGACGTCACAGTCGTAAAATGGCGCGTGATGTTTCGATGATAATGATTCGATATACAGAATCAACAGTTGAATTATAAACATAAATATAATACGAGGCCTTCGACATAGAGCTATTTGCATTCGCTTTACTAATTTGTAGGAGAGCCTATATAGGACGTTGATTCTACACGTGTGACGAGGCCGTCGATCTTCGAAGCAAAACACGTTGTCGCACCTTGAGCGCTAGACAGGGGAAAAATCTCACGCGTGTGAACAGTGCGTGGCAGCCTTCCCTGAAGGACGATGGAATACGTGACAATTCATTCCGGGGGAAATCCATATAAGTGCGATCTGTGTGATGCCGCCTTCTCTCGTCTGAGTAATGTGAAGACACACATTAGAACTCACACGGGAGAATAACCGTATAAGTGCGAACTGTGTGATGCTGCCTTCTCACAGTTGAATCATGCAAAGAGACATATGAGAACTCACACGGGAGAGAAACCATATAAATGCGATCTGTGTGATGATGCCTTCTCACAGTCGGGTGATGTAAAGACACACATGAGAACTCACACGGGGGAGAAACCATATAAGTGCGAACTGTGTGATGCTGCCTTCTCAGTCGTGTGATGTGAAGACACACATGAGAACTCACACGGGGGAGAAACCATATAAGTGCGAACTGTGTGATGCTGCCTTCTCACAGTCGTGTGATGTGAAGACACACATGAGAACTCACACGGGAGAGAAACCATATAAGTGCGAACTGTGTGATGCTGCCTTCGCACAGTCTGGTCCTATGAAGACGCATGTGAGAACTCACACGGGAGAGACACCGTATAAGTGCGATCTGTGTGATGCTGCCTTCTCGCATTCGGGTGATGTGAAGACACACATGAGAACTCACACGGGAGAAAAACCGTATAAGTGCGATCTGTGTGATGCTGCCTTCTCGCAATCGGGTGATGTAAAGACACACATGAGAACTCACACGGGAGAAAAACCGTATAAGTGCGATTTGTGTGAAACCGCATTCTCCCGTCTGAGTCATGTGAAGACACACATGACAACTCACAAGGGAGAGAAACCGTATAAGTGCTATTATTATTATGTATGGATATAATGTTTATGCTAGGATGAAACATCAAAAGCGGGTATACGCACGCATCTGGACCGTCACCAAATTGATGGATTTCCTTTTGGTTTATGAAATTTGGATAAAAAATTAACACACATAATATGGCAAATATGCAGTTCTCCCAATATAATACTCTTCGTTTCTATAATTGTACGTCGATTGGTTGCCCCTCATTAAAAGTTTAAAACTGGACTTCTTCTTCACTCACTCATTGTGTCCTTTATTTGTGCGCGGAGCGTGAGCTACAGTGTCATTGAACAGTTTCATTTTCTTAAGGGGAGAGTGAGAGAGCCTATTAAGAAACTAAGTATAGCCCTAATTTTTTCGAAGTACACACCACATTGATATAAGAACCGTTGTTTGGAGGCTAGACCTGGAAAAGATACCAGCGTTCTTACTACGCGGCGTTTTTACTCGTGATGTAGAACACATTAATCAAGGACGGTTCTGTGTCAATAAGTTAGCCTAAGGCACATATATTGATTGGAGACACAACGATTCAGACACTTGTGGGGTTTCAACTTGAACGGTTGGTAACCTTGCATAGAGCGTCACCATTTTAGAAAGCAATGCACGCACGCCACTCCACGTGCCAATTATTAATCAACAATATACCTATACATAGTTTATTACGGGCGTGAAATCCCTCACCATTTATATTCCACTCCTTCCCCACTACTAGTACCGTGGGGCGCAGGCACCCGGTTCTCTTCCTCTTGCCTCTGCTACTCTCCTCTCTCTGTCATTGCCCGTAGACGTCCCGCGGTCTGGCGGACGGAGCCGTGATGGTCGGGTGTGGTGTGTGTGTGTGTGCGCGCGCGTGCGTGGCGTGCGGTGCGGTGTGTGTGTTTACATATACACACATAAAAATTCCCCTTCTCGGCGTGAGATATGAAAAGTGCAAATAATAAAAAGTGCTCTGCGTTTAATTACATTAGTGTTCAAACACATTATTATTCACGAATGGTATTATATTACGCAATTATATTAACGTTCGCGTATCTTTCAAAAGGTTACGGCTTTCACAGAGCAA